CCCCGGATGTGCAAATTGCCGAGCCCCGGCGGTGGGAGCGGTGGTCGGGGGCGGGAGGAGGGGCGGCGGCACCCCACCCACCAATGCCCCTAAACCACCCCCCTTCCTGCCTCAACTTTTCGGGCTGGTTCGGCCCGTGCCCGCCCCACGCCGGCCCTGGAGGGTTTTGGGGTCCCGGGGATGGAGGTGGACCGCGGGGCTCCCCGCCCGGTGGAAGTGGCCGGGGTGGTGGCATGCCGGGTCCCCCGCCCCCCCCACGATTGCCTTCTACGGGGGTGCCCTCTTGGAACCAGGGCGGGGAACGCCCTGGCCTTGCCTCTGGACAAGCCGAATGGAAGCCGCGATATTGGAGGACAAAGTTCCTTCCCCGGCGAAGTGGGTGAAAGGTGAAAAGGTTGTTTTAGGTGAGGATGGATACCCATTTTCATCACAGTCCTCCGCTTAAGACGAGAATTCTGTCCCCCCCCCCAAAAAAAAAAAAGTTTTCAGGTGTAACTTGGGAAGCCTTCAGATTAGAGGAAGAAAGAGGATTATTCTGGTTGGTGAGATGGCAGACAACATTTTTTTATTTCTTCGGCCAAGTGAGCGCATGAAAGGTTACTTGCTTTCCCAGTGTTTTTACCAGTGAGTGTACATTTCCTAGTAGAGTTGAGCGGCCTGCTACACATTCCTCTGAGCAGGTACCTGGATTTCCTGGTTTTGGCTTGCCTGAAACGTCTAGTTAAGTAGCATTTGGACTAAAACACTGACAGGTGGCTCCCAGCGTCATTTCTATGAGGTCCTTCTTTGCCTTACTTCATGAAGTCTAAAGCAATGGTTCACATCATAGCCTAGACCTTACAGTTGGGAAGTTCACACTTTCCCTCCCTCCCGCCCTCCCTCCCTCCCTTCCTTCTTTCCTTCCTTCCTTCCTTCCTTCCTTCCTTCCCTTCCTTCCTTCCTTCCTTCCCTCTCCTCCTCTTTTTCCTTCTTCTTCCTTCCTCCTCCTCCTCCTTCTCTCATTGTTTAAAGGTTAGTTCTGGAAAGTATAAAACATTTTTTTTTCTGTTGCATTGTATGCCTTCTGAGTTCCCAATGACAAATCAAATCCCTCTGGAAATCCACCTGTAGATATTAAATGCTTTAATTTGAATTTCATTTTACAAAGAAAGATTTCAGTTTCTGGACAGTTTTAATATTTAATATGGACTAGAGGGATGGAGGTACTCCAGGACAGTTAACAGCTCTTTGTTTCCTGGAGTACTATATGCATAGAAAAGTACACACATCAAAAATGTAAAGTTTGAAGGATTTTTCACGACTAGAGTACAACTGTATATTCAACACTTAGATCAAGAAACCGAACATTATGAGCCTCCCTCTCCAACCCAGACTCTCATGTCCCTGACCTGTCATTCAGAACAACCACACTACTGATTTATAAGATCACAGATTATTGAGTGAGGGAATTTTAAACAATCTAATGGGAAATAGCAATAGCAGTAAAATAATAACGAATAATAGAATGTCTTACCAAATAGTTGTGGCCATTCATTCTATTGTAAGATTCTTTCTTTGAGAAACTTTGTGAACTTCTTGAGGATTCCCTTATGCAGCAGGCAATTTACAGAATAGAATACTGTTACTAGCCATTTAAGTTGCAGTGAGTTGTCAAATACTGTTTTTTTTACACATTAAATATTTTGTGGTAAGAATGAAGTTTCTGAGCAGGAAATACATTTTATTTTGTTATTCATGAGGAAAATGGAATCTTTGTACATAAGGATAATAGCCATTTATTCTGTGTAAAGTAAGTGTCTGAGAATGTTGTATTACTGTGCTCCATTCTATAGGAGAAACATACACTCTGAAGATAAGACATCTTTTCTCATGGAGTTTTGTGTTCATGTTAGAGAGAAAAAGCTGAAGCACTAAGTGTTAAGAATGTAAAAGTACAGGCAGGCATGCCCTAGGAGTTCTGAGAAAGACCAGGATAATAAATTTAGGAAGAGTTAGAGAAGACTTTATGAGAACTGTGAGGTATAACTAGAAATGGCAGGAGAATGAATAAAGAGATAAATTGCATGTTTAGCAGTATTTTTCAGGTTTTGTTTTAATCTGTCTTCCATTCCTCCTTCCCCCCACATAAAATCTTTGTAAGAAGCATATGTATTGTAATAATCCTTCATTAAAATACTCACCCATTGAAATGAAAGACAGTCTTCCTGGGTTCATGATTGCCTTCGGTGCTTATGTGGTCATGTGAGGTTAACTTGGTAGTCTCTTGAGTACAGCAGGCTTGGCTCTCCAGAAATTATGATTAGGCCTGCAAGAATGAACCACTGGCACTTGTCTAATGAAATAAAGTTGTTGTTTTTTTTTCTGTATGAACCCAGGACTTCAAACTTGCTAAGTAAACTTTTGGCTTTTGACCCTTGCCCTTTTGTTTTTATTTTGTGCTTGATATAGGATATTGTTAACTGGACCTCAAACTCCAAATCTTCCTGCTTTCATACCAGTTACAGGTGTGTGCCACCATGCCTGGTGTATGTATGTATGCATGTGTGTATTTTTGTGGTACTAGAGAATGAGTCTAGGCCTTGTGCACGTGAGCAAGCAAAGCATTCTACTATTGAGCTGAGTCATCTGAGTCCCTGAGTCATCTTAAACCTCTAGTTTGGATGTCACAAGAAAGTAAGTGTTACAGAAAGGGTAAATGCTGTAGATAGGGTAGCTGAAGAACATCTGAAAGTCTAGTTAGTAGTCAGGCACTGGAGATTGTACAAAAATGAATGCAGGCCATAGAAGTAGTGGTTGTCCCTCAGAGTCTATAATATGACCAGAGTAATGGAGTATCAGTGGATTAGTTCTGGATGACCGGGGAAGGGACCAGTGTATATTGCCACAGCATTTTATATCTTCAGCCAACCAACCAGAACAGAGCAAAACAAAGCTGTTTCTTTTCCTTACTAGCAATGCTTGTGAAATAAAGTTCAGATTTCTCATCCTGGATTTCAGAGCCTTCCTCTATCTTGTCTCATCTTACCTGGCTAAACTTATGTGGTCCTGCCTGCCAGTGTGTCTCTGTTCCAAATAGGCCAGTTTCGGCCGTGTTCTTTTAACAGGCTATTTCCAGGCTGCCAACCATACCTGGAATTTTTCTCTCCTTACCCTTAGCTCTCCAACTCACTTTCCTTCAGGAGCTAAGATAGGGTCACCTCATCATAGAGAGTTAACTAATCTAGGTGATTTATTTGATGATCACCCCCCCTTTTTTTTTTATTACCTCCAGAACCCTTTGCTTCACTGGGCATAATCCAGCCTGGTGTGACTTGGTGTGCCTTTATCCTTTATCCTCTTCAAGCCTCACTCTGTAAATGCTGGAACAGAGTTCCTTCCTCCCACGTTTCAAGGAGCTTGTGTTTCTCTTAGTCATATCTTCTTTGCTTCTGCTCTGTTTTCCCTCCCACTTCCACCTTGTCTCTTGAGCCTATCACTTTGGAATCTTCCTTGATTTCTCTAAAGCATGATCCACAGATCTTTCGTAGATGAGTTCTGTTAAACTTGAGAATAGTGGCAAGGATTCTATCCCAGTTTGATGAACATCTTAAAATTCTCTTACTTGGGAAATTCTTTGGGCATTCTCAATGTTGGAAAATTTTGGTTAAATATGTTCTTTCCTGAGTTTCAGTGCTCAAGCCTTTTTTTTTTTTAACCATATGTATGTCCACATATTTCCCCCTAATACTCTTTGTGCTCCCTTCCCACTAACCCTTCTTCTTTTAGCCCCTTAGATGTGTGATCATTTCAAATTAAGCTCTAAGGCCTGGTTTAACTTTGCCTAATGTCACAGGTCTACTGAGTGTTTTGCAGTTTGCAGGCATGAGTCATGTGAGGGGCTAGAGCTGCAGGAGACCCTAACGATGACCCATGAATAGATGATTTCAAAGGAGATGCTTTAAGTAACCATAGATTAAAAAAAAAAAACAACTAAAGGATTCCAGCAAAACCTAATGTGAATTGAACCCAGCTTAAGTAGAACAAGCCCTGGTACTGCTGTTTGTGGTACAGGCTGTTTAATGAATTATGCTTCAAAGTTTTTAGCAATTAGCATGTTGGGCAGGCATTCTGTTTCAGGCCTGTGCACTTACTGTCCTCCTTGCCTGCAGTACTATTTCTCCAGTTGCCCCACTGTGTACTCCTTCAGTCTTTTATCAGGCCCTAGTGAAACCATTGCCACTTAGTTTAAAATAGCATTTTCTCTACATATAGTCTGTCCATTTTCCTGACTTTGCTTATTTCTTTGGCACTTAGCATTTTCAAATGTATTTACTTTGCTTTGAGCTCACTTGCTGTGAGTCTGCCCTGCTAGGGTCACAGCTCCATGAGGGAAGGCATTTGTGTCTGTTTGTTGGTTAGCCCTAGTGGTTAGAACTCTGGCTGGCATATAGGAAGTAGGAACTCAGAAAATACTTGTGGAATGGAATGACTGCCTCTACCTCTCAGATGCTTTTTTTTCCCCCCCCTTTTTTTGGTGTGTATGTTTCTGTTATATTAAATGATACATTTTTTTTCTTGTTACAAATGTAAATGTTTTCTTACTAGCTCTTTAGGAACTGAATCCTTCATGCTTCCTATTTGAAGTTCTCAGTTAATGGTATCATTATCATTTCATAACATATATATATATATATATATATATATATATATTTGTTGTTGGCGGTGGTGGTCTTGGGGCTTGAACTCAGAGTCTAGGCACTGTCCATGAGCTCTTCTTTCTAAGGCTAGCACTTAACCACTTTGAGCCATAGCTCTACTTCTGGTTTTTGAGTGGCTAATTGGAAATAAGAGTCTCATGAGGACTTTCCTGCCCGGGGTTTACTTTGAACTGTGATCCT